CTAAGTTGGTATTTGTCTTCTATATTCAAGGACAATTTGATATTATCTTCAAAGTTTGAGAACTATTTTGGTACTATAAATTAAAGTTTAAGAATAATTTTAGTGTTTTTTAAAATTTAAAAACAATTTTGATATAAATTTAAAAGTTGAGGAACTAAATTGGCATTTAAGCATTTGTGGACAAGCTCCAACAACCTAAATTCGAGTGAGCCATTTTGCCATGGACAAACTACCTACGCTGACCTGCAAACACAAGCAACAACATGGGGCGATTCACCCATTTTGCCAAAATAATTAAAAATAAGAAAGTAAGAAGATTCGATGAGCTCCTAGTAGAATAAAAAATAACTATTAAAAAATCAAAAAAATTGTTGAACAATTTAATCTGCATCAAATTGAACAATTTTAAATATTATAGGAGAGTGAATCAATATTAAGAACTATTCTCTTATTTAATAATTTTTATTTTATAATTTAATACAATTAAATTTGTAAAATTATACACTATATTAAATTATAAAATTAAACACTCACAAAAAATATTGTGAATGCACAATGCAGCACGAAGTAAAATTGATATATACGAAACACTGAATTCCATCTTTCAAAACTGCAAATAAAAAAAAAATCTCTCTTTCGTTACAAATATTAATATCTAAATGATTGCAAAATAGCACACACAAATGAAGCCTTTATTACTATTATTGATATTTTTGAAAAATGATTCATACATATTTAGTTTAATATGCTTTATGATGCTAGTTTTGGTTTAGGTACTAAAATATAATATAATTATAATCAATTCAATCAGTTCTTACATTTTGTATGTATAATTGCATTATGAAGTTTGTTTACCTTTATTTTCAAGCTAAATAATAATAATTTTTTTAATAAGTGTATTGAATTAGATTGTATACCAATTGTTATTATATTTTTTATAGAAAATATAGATTGCATTAAATAAATAAAATTGAAATTACATATGAATTCCTTAATCACAGAATATATAGTCAAAAGAAGAAACTTGTTCTATAGCATTAGACACAAACTTAAACCATTTAGGATATATATATATATATATATATATCTATTTATATAGACAAACCGGTATGAAAAGCGATTTGAATATAAAGATTATGCTAACAATGGCTATAGAGGTATAAACAGAGCTACTAATGTAAAAGGAAAGTCTTTGTTAGCATTTTGAATTGTCAAATATTCTTAACTGCTATGCTAGGTTTTTTGGAGAAAGCAAGTACTTAAACTATCAACAGTCTCCTTCCACTGATATCATTTCAAGCTGTAATGGTCATATGCTTTAGGATCTACTAACGCAACAAGGAGTATGCTTAGCATATAGGGGGAGCTCTTTCCAAGGAAGAGCTGGTGGAATGGAAACTTTTGTATCATAGTACCTAGGCTTAAGTTTCAATACATTCTCGGGCAGCATAACGTAAGTAGCCTGCCTCTTTCCTGCAACTTTTTTAGCTATGAATATTTGTTAGCTTTTCTTTGCTTGATTCTGTAAGTCTCTGTAAGTCATGGCATTGCTTATTGGTGAATTTCATCTCAATTTAAAACCTGGACCTGAAAATATGTCCATGCATATTGAGATCTTATTGTGATTGTCATGTGACTGTCCTG